AGAATAAATATGTGGAATGTAACAATCGCCCCGGATTATTAAGTGCGCCCCAAACTCTGTAGACTCAACTACCTCCCTCCCCCCCCCCCCCCCCCAAACCCAAGGGAAAAGATTTCGAAACTTTTTTAAAATATTTTTTGCGGCCTTGTTACTGTACACATGTAACGGGTGGGGGGGGGGGGGTATTCACATACGAACGTGGAAATAATTAAATAATTATTAAACTAAAATAGTTCAAGCTCCAAACTCTACCAAAGCAATGTAGTCTTAGTAAATAAATAAACTAAGAACCAGAGCATGTAGTACTTACCCCGTGGAATCAATCCGATGAATATAACTTATATTAAACGCATTCGTTAACAACCGACCATCATCTACACAAGGTATCCTATTCTGTATCCTGGCTATGCCAACTAGGGAAGCATACACGAACATCTCGTTGCCAAGTCGGCCGCATAGAGAAGTTGATTTCACATACAGTGGTGGGTCGCCATATAAGGTATTAGCTGTAATCTTCATTTGACTGCTGCTTACACTTTTTATTTGACTTGCCTCTTTGGATGTATCGGCACTGGTCATTTGGGTTGCATGGGGACTGCTTATTAGTGATGTCATGTGACTGGCGAATAAAGACTTCATGTTAATGATCAAGGGGGACTCAATACTATTTGCACTGGTCCATTTGGATGTCTTGTTTCTAGCCTCTTCATAAAGTGAGGTCAACGTAGAATTTATAGAGTTGTCGTTTCTTAGCAAACTGAAATACGTGTTGTTTTTGTTTAACATACTCCTTAAAAAGTCAAGAAAGTGCTTTTGCAGAACAAATAATCTTTACAGATATCGAATTTTCTTAATCATGTATACAGCAGTATCGAACCTTAATTGCATATATATAGATATATTTTATTCTATTTAAGTTTAGAAACAAAACAAGAGGATTAAACGTAAAACTACAAAATGATGTATGAGTTAATTGCTCTAATTAAAATACACTCTATATATATATATATATATATATATATATATATATATATATATATATAGGATTCGGGTGATACATTGTAAATCACAATAACACGTATCAGTAAATGACTAAGGACATCTTTTAAATTATAAAAAAGTAGTGTTTCATTTTTATTGTCAATAAAACATTTAACTCTAAATTGATTCAAATCAAATTACTTTCTAACAAACTAATTTGAACCAAAACACCGAAGTTTCTACACATACAAATTATACTACAGTACTTTCAGCAATATACTCGCCACCAATATGT